GCTCTTCCGATCTCCCCAAAACCCCAAAACCCCACGACAAGGAGATAAGAAAATTTCTTAGATTAAATTTAATTTGAAGTTGAGAAATATAATTTATAATTGAGATAGGTTAGGTAGAAATGTAACAACAGAAGGTTAACATCGTTGAAGGTAAGAACCTCTCTTTCTCATATTCCTGGTTGGGAAACGCCCACGATTACTGACTGAACTGTCGTGAAGCAAACATCAACCATAGTTTCCAATAATCCTTTGACCCTTTACTTACCGTTATCATTTTTGTAGTTTTGAATAGACTCAGAGAATAGTTATTAGCTAGAGGATCCACCACCATCAGAGGACTCGGCAGAACTTTCAGACAACTCGATTCCTATGACGGAAACAGAAAGGTCGATGCTGGAGAATTCTTCGTTGGCATGCAAGAAAACGGTGTTAGAATCACCAAGGCTGAGGCTGATGTAAGTTATAACTTATCCGCTTTTTTCCGTTAAATTAACCGTATCTTTCTTGTAGGCTCTCTTATCATACTTCGATACCGACAGTGACGGTCACATTAACTTCGATGAGTTCCTCGTTGGAATCAGAGTAAGTTTATTAGCTGAAGCAACATTTTTCTTAACGAATACGTGTGTAGGGAAAAATGAACGCAAAGAGACAAGCCATGGCTGACAAGGCTTTCCTCAAGTTCGACAAAGATGGAAATGGATGCATTGAGGCTGCTGACCTCAAGGGAGTATACAACACCAGCTTCCACCCCAAGGTTATCTCAGGAGAGATGACTGAGGATCAAGTTTTCCTTGAGTTCCTAGCCAACTTCGGAGATAAAAACAAGGATGGAAAGATCCAAAGAGAAGAGTGGAATGATTACTACTCTGCCGTCTCAGCTTCCATCGATAATGATGACCACTTCGTTCAACTTATGAAGACTGCTTGGAAACTAGATTGAGAACACTGAAACCCAACCATTATTTAATATGAAGTGGAGGCTTTCTGCCCAAAAAGCCTCTTCTTCTATTTTCTTTAAGAATATTTAAGATATTTATCTGTCTCCTATTGAGCAAATGTTTGAATTATTTATATACGATACCAACTAATTCATAATTCATTTACCTTTTCAATTGTTTTATAATAGAAAAATGGGGTTTTGGG